TTGAAGTATTTGGGACCATTATATTGATAAGAATGTCTGAACAATGACTTGCTTACTTTAGGTAATCGGAAAATGCCTTGATTGTTTAGTATTATACAAAAGATTGCTTTTGTATTTGAAACTAATTAAAAGATTGAACATGTTTGTATTTCCACTGCGTACATAGTAGTAATATGTATAAATGCTGAAATAGGAGTATTTGCTACTGAGAAAATAACGGGAAAGAGCTATCACGTTTATTACTTTTAGTTATTATCCTTAAAAACAATTTTGAGTAAATCTTAGTTTTTCAATATAACTTGTTCCACCCCAGCATTGAATTGCATGTTAGAGTCTTGAATCCTCAAGAGAAAAGTAAATAGTTCGAATTAAGAAGGTATTACAAATGTTTTTATAAAATATAAAATTCTCATAGTTTGTGTATGTAGGGTGGAAATATGTTTGTCCCAGCTTAGATTTTCATCCATAACTAGTCCGAGATATCGAAAATGATTGACCTTTTCAATTTATTTGCAAATGCATGAAATTAAATTACAATTTGAAGAATGATAAATTAGATAGCTTGGAATGCCAAAACTTAAACTGAAATCTATGTATTTTGTCTTATCAACATTTACCTGCATTTTATTTGCTTTACACCAATCACTCAATAAGTTAAGATGTTCTTGAATGTAACTGTAAAGAGTGAAAATAAATTTTTAGGAATAAAAAAACGCAATGTCGTCAGAAAAGGCGCATTCGTGCCAATGGAATGGCGGCATAAATAAAATCAAAGCTTTATTTCCCAATAGACAATAAAATTGCATGTGGAATGGTCAATGAAAGGTATTATGTTGGTTAAACATTATTTGTCAAGGAAGAGTACAATGGGTGTAGAGAACAAGGTCAAAACAAGAGATACAAAGAGAATATAAAATGCATCCATTGCATACAGATGATGATAACTACAAGAGAAAAATGTACAAACATTACTCAATACGTAATGGTCTAGGAAATTCTAAAAAATCGTTTAGTTTGTAGAACGTGTTCTTCTAGCAACATATGAATTCTAGCTTTAAAAATTTTGTAAGGAAGCGATAGCAATTTGTTGGGCAATTTATTAAGCTCGAGAAGGTAATTTATAAATATGAGGAAGAGGGTTTCAGAGCTAACTGATCCCTGGGGAATACCCATATATTGTTATTGATTTTGGTGGCAAACAAAACAAGTTGGAGTCAAAAGTCAAGGCAATAACTAACAAACTTGCTTATATTTCGCGTAAACTGAATGCTATAGTTTCTGTTTTTTTATGTAAAAACTTTATGTGTAAAAAATATACCGATTTTAGTAACTCACTGTTTATGTAAGGCGAAGATAAGCTGCCATTTACATGGAATGTTTTGCCTTGATACTCTAAGGATGTAATTAACCACTTCTCACGTATTTTCCAAGTTCTCACGTAAATTTGATGAACACTGTACATTTTCAAGGTTGACAGTATTTACACTTCATTAAATACAATAATAGTAATGGATATTACTATAACGGAGTTATCCTTGCAATCCTTGGGCTTAAGTAAACAATTGCTGAGAACTAGCCATACATCCGGCACGCGTGCAATATTGGTAGAGTTAAATCATGTTTACTGTTGTTTTTTGTAAGGATTGCAGATGCCTAAATATATTGCTTGACAAAATATATCGATGCATGGAAATAAGTAATAATAATTCATTACTGCTAGTAAGATAAAAACTATACTCATGAGATTAATTCATCATTGACTGTTGGATACTGAAGTAGACATTTCATCTACAGGGTGATTGAAAAGTAACTTGTGCCCCCCCCCCCTTATTTTAAAACCATTTTAAATATTTGAAATCTGTTTGCGGCAACCTTTTAGATACGAGGGGCTATAATAATTATGGTTAATTTTGAAATTTTGCCCTCAGGGGTAGTGGGGGTAGGGGTTAGCTCAAAACTATCAAATAAGAAGTATAGTCGGGTTTGGTATCATTTTACAGGTCTTGATGGAAATAAAAAATTGATATAAGGAAAATAAAAATCGACCTACTAATAACAAAATGGCGCCCTAAAATTATTCACCCTAAAACGGACAGAGATTGCTGATAACAGCAATTATAAGGAGTTAGCAATTATAAGAGTTTCCAAACACTGTTACTAACCACATAGACCTTATCAGCATGATATGAACTAAAGAAAATGTTTCCTTGATAAAAATTGAAAGTTAATAAAATAGGAAACAAATTATTTTACGGCCACAGAGCTTTTATGTATACAATGCTTTTTTAAGCGGGTTATTAAAAGTAATTTTTAGTTGCCATTTTGCTATTAGTTGTCTTTTCTTTATGTCAATTGTTTGGTTTCACCAAGACCTGTAAAATGATACCAAACTCGACTATCTATACTTCCTATTTTAAAATGTTGAGCTAACCCCAACCTCCACTACCCCTAAGAGCAAAACTTTCAAAATTAACCATAGTTATCGTAGCCTCTTACATCTAAGAAGGTTGCCACAAACCGATTTGAAATATCTCAAAGGCTTAAAAAGTTAAGGTGGAAGGGGTGCAAGTTACTTTTCAGCCACCCTGTATATGATGGACCAGCTGTAGTGAATTTCGCATCAAAATAGAACATAGTAGCACACTTACAGAGTGTGTTAATCCCAGATCTATACTAGTATTTTCTGTATTAGTTTGCGGTACTTTATAATTATTGTATCGAAAACATGCTATGGTTTAGTTTGAGTTTTGTTGTTGTTTGGGTTTGTTTTAAACTTGATTTATTCGACGGATATAAGTAGTTTACATCAACACCAGTTCCTCAATTATACTATGTCCATTTTCATTCTAAAATCGCCTAAAACACAAACGTAACATTAGCGTTGGATGTCTACCTCTTGTAAAAGTCAACAATTAGAAGTATTATATAAGCTTTAAACGTCCAGCCACCCTTCCACTGAAAATAGATTATAGTAAAATATTATGTTTATCCGTTATAAAATACTATTTGAAAAAATTGTCTGCAGAATTTATCCAATTGTTAACTAATTCGTGTTATAATAAAGTTGTTAGTTCAACTACTTTAATGTAATTATCAAGTCCATGAACCTGGGATGTCTAAAAAATACTTTATATATATAGCTAAATTGGTTAGCTCTTTGTTGTTAAATTCGGTTATTGTGAAACTAGATCACTGTTGATTTATTGAAGAAAATATATACAGTATGGAATGTAATAAATTCATCATACAAATCAATTGTATAATTATTCCCCACATTATAAACTCAATTTTACTCCACCAAAATACTTATTTATAAGTTAACTACGTAATTGTTGCCCCCTGTAAAAGATGTATTAACAATTAAACTATTTACTGTTATGGCAGGTAAACTTTGTTTAAATAATCAAACCAAAATTAATATTGCAATTCTTCTGCATTATCTGAGCCCATAAAATGCATGTATAAATATAAGTATTGGATAGGGAAACTTGGATGTCTATAAATCTGTTTGACCTCTTTATTGTTTTAAGATATATATTTTTGGAGATTTAATCGGTAATGTTTAATCAGATGGAGTTTATCCATGAGCAATAACCTGTATGAAGTAACACTGCACTGCTGTACATTAGAAACGGCGAGTACCTGGATTGACTAGTCAGATATTGCAGGCGTTGTTGTCCGCGACGCGACATGGCGCGGTAACTACATAAGAACAAATTAAATCGTTTACGAATAAAATAACAGTTTGTTTCCTTTAGTATTTACATTTTAATATACAAATAGCAACTTTTAAATCGATGGATACAAACTTATTTCATTGCAGAATGCCTTTTAATTTAGAAGACCGACCAGAGTTTGAAGCAAAAATCAGAGCAGTTTTTTTTTATAAAAACAAACTTTTTCGTTAATTGTTTTTAAGGAAAAATCTGTATATGTATTCTTGGCAACAGATAATTATTTTTACCGTTCATGACTTTTGATTAGGCCACACGTATCAAAGGAAATATCTCGAATAGTGTTAATCAATCCAGGTTTAAAACTCCAACAATTTTGGTTTTAAGGAATGTGTTAAAAATAAAACTTTACTAGTGTAATTCTATATTAAGACATTACGTTCTTATTTCGTATAGCGCAAAAAATGGATTTATTAAAATTATATACGTAAAATTGAATTTTAAAATTTGTGTTATCAGTTGAATATTTGTCTATTGCCATTTCAAACTCATTGTGTAGTCTACTTTTGTTTGCCGATGAAACAAAAAATCACTACTCTTAAACAAAAAAGTGGTTAGTGAAGTATTGTATTGACAATTTTCGTTTTAAATTTACGTGTTTACATACCATATGGAATTGAAATACTATATGTGTTAAAAGTGTGTTAGACGGGATGTATTTTCTAAACCTTAAACTGGTTTAAACAATTCTATAAGTAAACCTTGGTTGTTGAAGTAGAACCATTGACTATAAAGTCAATGGTAGAATCTAGTTTTGTTTCATAAATGAACCATTTTAAAAGACTATAAGTGGTTGAAGAATTATGACAAGAAAGATTAACTACTGCAACTCATTATTATTTGCTTGGATTGATCTGATATAATGAGCAGTTCAGGTAAAACTGAGGACTGCAGTATACTGTGTGTTGGTTTAGAACAGTGTAGTGCCATTCAATTTTGGGAATTGAATTAGATATCTCATATCTGGACCAGCTGTAGCCATTTTCTTTTTATAAGGGACTCACAGAGTGCGTTGCAGTATAAAAATGTATTATATTTAACTTTTGTTGACATGATAGTTTATGTGACACACAGTGCTATAGTTCACAGTAGGCGCTTTCACTTTGGATTGGTTGAAAAGTTGGCTTATTCGACAGAAATCAGCAATCTACATCAGCGTATTCTGACGGTTGCTCAATTAAACCACGTTCATGTTTATTCTACAATATGGCTACATGGGAATGTATATTTGTATCCATGGTCAATGGTGGTGATTGAGGTACTTACCGAGCTGTGCTCGCTACCGTCCGGTGATAACGCTTCCCTGGTCTCGTTGAGGAGGTCTCGAGGAGCCTGGAACAGCGCATCCCTCTCTGTCACCTCCTCTACGTCCCCTCCCTCCACACCCTCCTGGGTCACTTCCGCAGCCGCCCCCGTGGCCGTCCCTCCGGCACCGCTTCCTGTCGCCGTCACCTCGGCCTCCGCCCTCACCCCGTACACCTGCAACAGCACATAGATCAGCGGGACATCCAAGACTCATCCGACAAAGTGACACATGACTGTTACATCAAATGTCCCAAGAGTAATATTTGAAAAATGTATATTTTAAGCTAGCCTGTAAGCTTACAATACCAATATGTTTAGAAGTACTGTACAATATTCATTAATTAATAAATTATGCCTAGATTTTTTTTTACTGTAGGGTATGATTGCTGTAGAGACTTAATAGCACGTTTGAGACGTAAGGCCAGCTGTTGGTTAGAATGGTATCTAATACGCTGATTATGAAGTGCTCTAGAAACATTTGTAACACATACATTAATATGGAAAATCATGAGATATATTTATGGCAAATACAATAATGGCACTATTCGTTTCGGAAAAGATATGAGACTAATATACAAAAAACGCAATAAAGGTTGGAGAAACCACTTTTAACAATAATTATGATCACTACCTCCCTTTTCACGTTTCTTATTCAATACAACGACTATATTCTAGCATTGTAAACACCAGCTCTGTCACGAAAGTCCAGGAAACTATCGAGATATGAACAAAGAGACTCCAGAACAATAGTGGTGATTGGTCGTCCGAATCTTTTTCCAGTGGTTTTTCTTCGCGCACACGAGGCCATTTTCCGCGTGAAAGTGCGATTGACGCGTGGGAGCCCCATGGATGGTACTGGTGGTGGACGATTGGCAGGAGGTCGTCGAACTGGGAAACAACGGGTACCACAAGCATGACTGGGCTCACCAGAGTCCACAATTGGCTTCGGAAAACTAGAAATAGCCCACGCGGTAGGATGGGACTTGCACGCCAGGAAATGCCGCCGTGAGAATGCAGAAGACCAAGTCTTACTGACAAAAGGTCCTTGAAGAAGATTCCTTGGTAGTGGCAGGATGTGGGTTACAAAATTCCGTCAATCTTATGCTGCTTTTTGACAGAATAATCAGCATTTCGTACTAAAATTTGAAAAATCAAAACTAACCTATGAAAACTGATGTTTACCGTACATTTGTGTTTACCATGGGTTCTACAAGCTGATTCTACCAGTAAAAGGGAAACCCATTATTGCTAGACATATTTGAAGGTAGTTTTCAAGCAATGTAGAGCACCTTTGTCTTTAGGAACGCTGCAACTAGATTGAGGATTTTATAAAATCTATTGGTAAATAATCGCCATAGATTTGAAAGAAAACAAGCACACGCCTCTACTTTGGAGTCCTCGAGCCGTAAACAATGCGACAAGTAGGCTCTAATTGAGTGTTTAGATTGTTTCATAAACAAAAGGGTCCGTTGGTGCGTTGGATTTAGTCTTATTGACTTTTTTAGTCCTAATTGTTACGGCAATGTACAAAGTAGCAAGAAAGAAAGTTAAATTTAAAAGATTGATCCATGCTGGGAGAAAAAATTACGTTATCGGTACAGTTTGTTCTGTTAGTACAGTTACATCTTGTATGTTCACAGCGACTTATTATTGTCACTCCAGTTAAGATGGATGTAAAATGAAGGAGAGAAAACACATTTTACCGTCTTTAGCAGTTTCTAGATGTAATAGTCATGTAAATAGAATAGAGGATGGGATAACAACTAAATATGTCTTTTCATCCTATTAATTACCTAAAATAACTACAAGTCTCATTTTTTTCTGCTCATAAACTAGACTTCCCTTTAAGGTATAAGAAAATTAAGTCAGTTGTAGGTTAGTTGTAGGCGATTATTTAACTTAACAGTGTAAATAAACCAGACAAGAAAAGATACGGGTCGTGCTGTGTATTCAGATAGCTGATTGTTACGTCTGTAACAATCAGCCTTGTTACACGTGTTGTTGTGCACAGTGATGCGTGTGGAGGTCTGTACAAGGACTTATCCGATTGCGTGATGACCATGCGCATGCGTGAAGAGTGCGCCGGCGCTATGGTCGACGCGCACCGGAGTACGGTAAAGTCAGCTGCCGTCAGTCAGTCATGTGCAATTATGCGACTGTAAGTGTTTGTCTGATGTTTACAACAACGGTATTGCAATTGTACGCGACAGAAGTCTAGGTAATGGCCAGGACCATGCTGAGTATGAAACTGTTACTGCAACTACTCTTCTGTGGAACATGCTTGTGTCACGGGTGATATAGAAAATCTTGCACCTGCAGAATTCAATGAAGATTTGATATGGCGTTGAATTTACATCCATTTGATAGTTAGAATTAATTTAAATAGCATTATAATATGCAATCCAAATATCTCACTATTAGATTTAATGTTAACAAGAAACTCATTTGCTGTTCCAAATTCCAAATTTGTATGCTGAATTTTAAATTTGAACTTAATTTTGTATTCAGATCTAATATTTTAGGAAGTGAGCGATGTTATTTCTTTTGAAGGTAAAGTATTTTCTGATAAGGTAAAGTAAGGAAATGATCGAATGTTGGGGAATGAGTTGTCCATAAAATATCCCTTTCGTGTCTAACCTGCAGACAGAAGTGAATAAATAGTTGCTTCATCCAGTTTATATTCAAACATATTTATAATAAATAGATAATTTTCCTTGGAATATTTCCAGTATAAACAGCAATAGTTTGATAAACACTTGCCAAATTCTCTAAAGAGATGTTATCCACGCCGATTTATTTTAAAGGGGAATTTCTTGAGGGATTGTTTTTATTTTGATTAAATTTACTTAAGATATTTTTAGTAGTTGACATTTGACGCCATTTTGCACCATGTTGTAATTGGCAATAAATATTATTGACACTTACTATGACAATTCCATGAACAAGCACTTAAAATAAATCGCCAATAAATTGATTCTACACAAGGATAACATGCGAGATTGCGTGCTGGACACTTTTATTATTTAGTCATCTGATGAGTGCTGATTTAAAATGTAATAAACTGAATGGTTGTCTTCCAAGCTTGTTTGACTCTTATGCAAACAGTTAGAAATCTGTCAAGATATGGGCGAGAATATAGAAATAAACTGATTATTATTGGAGTAAACCACGCCCTCCCCCTAAATTTTAATTTGTGTGGTACAACAAACATTGGTCTGATTCGCGGACTCTTACGATTATATTTTGGTCCACGCTTAATTCAAGAGTTGAACTTTAACAAGAGCTATCGGGCATCCTTACACATAATCCATGTAGCCATTCTACAGTCCAGTACAAAACTACAGTATTTACTTAGAGCGTGAAAGACGTACGTGTTATACAAAATATCTCATTAACCTAAGTTTGAATTTTGTGTTTATCATATCAGCAAACCTTTAATTTGGTTAAATACTGAACCCAACAATTTTAACCGTCTTAAGATATCATTAACTGTTGCAGGGTGTGGGAATCCGTAACTGGAGGACAGAGTAAGTTTTTAACGCTTTGCCGCAAAGCGGAGTGTCGAAATATAATTGGGACAGTTAGAGTATGACCATGTCCTGCGGGACAATGCGTTGATGGGTTCCTCTCGAGTGAACCCAACGTGGCGTCTTTAATATCTCGACTCGCGAGGTCGTTGTCGCCGAACCGTACTGTCCGAGTGTCCAGCAATGCAGACTCCCGGGTTACTTGACTCTTGGGAGCCGCTGTCACATACAGTGTCAGGGGTGCTCTTCATTTACCCATCATACTCATATTTGGTCCTTTCTAAAAATGTAACCACCCATTGCATTTGCTTATTGCTATTGATCGTCTAGTTTAGAACAGCAGCGCCACCGTCTGACGATGCACTGCTTTGTTAATTGTTTTAATAGGTGATGGCCCTTTAACTTCTACGTATGCCTCGGGTCTGTGCATGGAGTTTACCCAGAAGATTAAGGGGTGAGCCTGTCAGTACAGTATGAGTTTAAATTATCTTATAACCTGAAGTGGCGGAATCAAGACTGGAACCCACGACATCACTGTCATAGATTCGTTGTCATTCGTCGTGCTACCGACTGAGCCAGAAAATAAAATAAAATACAAATAAAATGAAATAAAAATAAAATAAAATAAAAATTTACCAAACTAGGTGGCGTTCACAGACGCGTACACAAAATTGAGCGGAGTCGTCAGGATTCAGTTTTATGTAGTCATATTGCCATTGACCCTCAACATCAAGCTTCAAAGTTATTTTTATCTACAATATCAAATAGAGATTTTTTTTAAGGGATACAATTTCATGGGGATCAAAACAGCTACTAATTATTTACCAGTGAAGTGAAGCATCTTATTTTTAACACAGAGTAGTTATTATTTATGGCTTTTTGAGACCTGCTTTTACATTTCAAGCTTAAACCTCTGGGATTGTATATTTACTTTTTCTCAAACAGGACGGTGCAGTTTCAGCTAGTGATTACATTAAACCCAAACAGTTTCGGCTTATACCAATTTGGTTACAGGATAACTGCCTGGCAGTTAAACTTTGTATGATGTATACGAATGAAAACACGAAAGAGATAACATTCTCTTATATCCCAAGACCTCAAGAAAAAAATAGAGTAATATATTTAGTTAAACAATTAAACATGCTTGCAATATGAATTTTATTGAATGGACAACTCAACGAATGTGAAAATTTCAAACTAAAACCATAGACAAACTGCATTAAATTTCGAATGGTGTTGGTCTATATTTAATTCCAATTGTCTATGCTAAAACTAAAAAATCGTTATAGCAGTGACACTAAAGGCAATCTTCGACTAGAACAGACATCTCTCTCCAGACCGAGCTTTTTTTTTTTTTTTAAAAAAGAGGTTTGCGGCCTCTTTTACCTTGCATTTGCCCGTCCACATAGACTACAGATCTGTGCGTGGAACGTATCCAGCAAAGCAAGGGGTTTTGTTCATGTTCATCAAACTTCTTCTAGAAATACTTGGTCGAAAGCAGCCCATCTACAGCAATATACTGTAAGTCAACCGAGCACTGAATTGTCATAGTCCAATATAAAAAAACTGCTTGGTTCTGGGTTCTGCCTTGGGTTTTGTGAATTGAGAGAATAGAATTGTCAATGGAAATTGTTTTCAGGTACAATTAATGCCACATTTTACAAATTTAGTTACAATGAACATGAACATGGGGCAATCTTTTGTATAATATGGGCCCTCTATGATTATTAATTTAACTAATACAAGCAAAGTCTGCATGTCCAAATGTGATAAGACTTCTTCAAATTCATATAAAATGTCGTGGACAGTGCCAACAGCACCATTGACGAATCCTGCATTGGCCCATATTTTGTGGCTTAACATGACTTTACATCCTTTGGCTAATTTGAGGATGTTTTCAAGAGATTGACATTAATCGAAACACACTGTAGCTGCTATTGAAGGTTTGTTTATGGCACGAACGAATCCCACCTTGGCAGTTCAGCCAATTCGTTAAGGTTGTAAGTAGCCACGTCCACACGTCTTCTTTTCTTGCCGTGATACGAACAATGTTGCAAAGTTCTGATTGTTGATATTTTTATATGAATCGTAAATAAAAGAATCTACAGGGTGTCCCAGAACTCTCTACCAATATTTTAGGGCATTGATCCTGGGTAAGAAACAACGTACCTAAATATCATATTTAAACTGTCCGGAAGTCCTTAATTACTCACACAGCCGCCATTTTGTTTTTTTCAGTTATATTTTTTTTTCTAAAGAATGGTTAGACATACGAAATGGAAACTTTACACAAGCATTTATGACAACTAGACAAAGCTACAAATAAATTATGAAGATTTTTCAAATTCATAAAACAAAATGGCGGCCATTTAAAATTTTCTTTCTTAAATAACTCAAAAACCATTGATTTTACAAAAATTTTAAATGGCCGCCATTTTGTTTTATGAATTTGAAAAATAGTGATAATTTTTTGGTAGCTTTGTCTAGTTGTCATAAATGTTTGTGCAAAGTTTCCATTTCGTATGTTAAACCATTCTTTAGAAAAAAATTAATAACTAAAAAAAACAAAATGGCGGCTGTGTGAGTAACTAAGGCCTTCTGGACAGTTTAAATATGATATTTAGTTATGTTTCTTACCCAGGATCAATGCCCTAAAATATTGGTAGAGAGTTCCGGGACACCCTGATAATCTTTCTCTGTCATCGTTCCATGACGAAATGACTTTTGCTCTTCTCCAGATTGACGCAGTTAGTTGAAAAATTGTTGAATGTGTTCGTTTACAAAATGTCCATGTGTATACCACTGATTTGAAAGATCATATGACATGAATAAAGATCGATACGGCCCCGATAAAACCATATCACCACACAGATATGCAATAATACCATCAAACACCTACCGTCACCGTGGGTTGATTCTGTTGTGTTTGCAATCTCAGTTGTAACTACAGACTTGCCATAACAATGTTTAGTTCGCAAGGTAAAACCATTGAGTATAGTAACACAAATGAAACACTGATACAAATAAACGTAATATTAAACTTGTTCTGTAGGTTAATGAATCATGTTCAAATTAAATCCAAGAATTAATCACGAACTAAAATAATGCATAACAAGATGATTAACAGCACGAATATTATAACATAAACTGTATTGATCCTAAACAAATAACGACACTAGCCCGAAACGGTCAAAAACGATTAAACCATATGTTATAGTTATTAGTGATTCAAGCTAGTGACGTCATGTTTTTTGATTCTAGACGTTTTTGTTCTATTATCCGTGCGAAATTTAACTAATCTTTATCACCATGCAAAATTTGAAAATGATTGCTTCAGCCGTCATGGATGAGTTTGCGTATTACGAAAGGCATAATGGTCGACGTATAAGTGCTTCACACGCTCCGCTCAATAACAATCAAATATCTTAACGACGACCTAGTAATATCCATAATGTCTTTTATAGAAAATGACAACCTTCTGTTTAGTGGCCAAAATGGTTTTCACTCAGGCAGATCAACAATTACGGACACATCGAGTTTTTATGAAAGTATAATAGATTCAATTGATCAGCATGAAAACGTGATAGGAATAGCAAATATCCTAATAATCAAATTAAAAGATATGGAAGTAAAAGGTCAAATTTTGCCGTGGGTTAAATCACATTTTTATCGGATATATAATGACTCGTTGATGGTTAAAGAAAACAATTGGATGGTAAAAAAAGATAAAAAGTCAAACCTAATAACTTATGCGACCCTCAAGGTTTAACATTAGGCCCTGTTTTATTTCTTTGTTGCTTTTAGATACCAAATACACTGTTGCCGTGTCCCTTGCGGAAATATGTGCTTATATGCTGATGAAATTAACTTAAAAATTATCGACCAAAGAGTACAACAGATCGTAATACATACCTTTATGGACCTTACAAATATTAAAAGTTACTACCTTATAATCTCAAAATAAACTAATTTTATGTATTTTCAACTGAATAATGTAGAAATAAAATAGAACCGTTATTTTGTTTGGATTCTGATTAAATCAAACAAGTTGAAGCAATATATTAAGCACCTGTCCTGGCAGGACCACGTAGATCTGTCTGCGCAAACATTAATTCAGGGATATTCGCATTGAAACAGATGTCTTATCTATGTAATATCTGTACTTTGAAAACAATATATCGTTCTTTTGTCCATTGCCTCTTTTTATACGGTAAATCTTTATACAGTATGTAGATTCAGCAAAGACTTGTTATATGGGCATTACGAACAATGATGGGACTGAATGATGAAAGTGTTAAAATTCGTTTACAAAACTTAAAAATACTAACGGTCTTTGCCCAATGCATTTTTGAAACGGCTCTCATTGCTAAGGGAAGTTTACCGGATAACGCACCATTATGCTACAACACTAGAGGAAAAGCCTCAAGAGAAGATATTCTCAAGCATAATTTCTTTTTAAATAAAAAGCAACCCTACCGGAAGAAGGTTCTTACGTCTGCTTCCGATAAAATCCATTTCTAGCATCCAATTTCAAAATTTATAATAAAAAACATGTGTTTGAAACCGCTCCTTACTCCATTAAAGAAGTGTTCCCTCAATTAGCTTGATTATGTTTATATGTTTCTTATGTATACATTTTAATTTCGAACGTTATCCTATCCTTTAACAATTGTATTTACCAGGTTAAGATTATTGACTATATTCAATGTATAATTACAATTATTGAATAAAGATATTGAAATGAAATACATAATCAAATGAATAACAACTACCTAAGTAGGCAATGAAAATTCTTGGACCTTTTTCCTTGAACGACAAAAAAGAATATGTTTTAAGGCCAGTAGGAAGGTTGTTATACGACTTTCGGCCAAAGTACCTGAAGCTCCTCTCCTCTCAAAATCATACCTCATTCTTGGAAAGTAAAGCAGGAGTTTGCCCAGGTGGGATCCGCACTGAGATACCTCGTCTCGAAAGGAAAGCCTCTCAAGAAGGTATTGTAAGACAAGAGCCTTTTGCACCATGCGGCATGTCATGACCCTGCAAACTGTATACAGTCGTCCCTGCAGCAGCTCTATATTTTGTAGGGTATACTTCCTACTTTGATCAAGAACTCTGTATCAACTTCTCCACTAAGACGAAGAACTAAGTATGTAAGGTTTGTTTGTTCACGTAATAGCTGTGGCAACAGTAAGCCTACAGGTATTTAACAGTTTTTCATCTGATGATGAGGGCTTCACGGGTCGCTGTAACCGTTCGTCGACATGTCAGATATGGCGGGCGACGGCCTTGCAGGCGGAACTAACTCGCTGTTTCCTTCATTCTTTATGATGTTCAACAAACAATCGCGATAGATTAGACATCATTGCAAATTTTTCGATAGTGCTAAAACGTGAATGACTCATGAAGAGTACATTAAAGTCTATAGACTCAAAAGCCTAACATAGCTAACTAGAAGATAAAAATGACCCATACTCAGAATAATTTGTTTTTTGCCCGGTTTTGTTACTATTTAACTTCGACCTTTTGTTAGATAGCATCAATAGTTGATATCCCAATGACAAATGTCATCAAGATTCCAGAATAGATACTGTTTGGAATCAAACTGACATCCTTTAGATTTGTGGGCGAGCACTATAGTAGTATAATTTGGCTACCTAGACAATTACTGTTAACTGTCGGGAGGTGGCTGTAAAGTCTAAAGAGCAACAATAAATTATACAAACTATTTTGGCTGTGTTTTGAGTTAATCGATGTACGATGCATCTATGAGGCGATATACACAATGGTTTCGATAAATACATTAATTTGTATACACATTTTTAATGTATTCGTGAATATCGATTACAGAACAAGCAGTACGATGTATGTTTGAATTGCTATTGGTATATAAGTTGTGTGTCGTTTGTCAGTGAGAAGCGATAATCAACAATCATCATTGTTACCCAAACACTTTTGTATTACATTTTAGTTTCAATTTTTATTTTAATCTACATTTTCTCATTTGTAATGGTCTTTTTGCATACATTTCGTTCTACAGAACTAATCCTATGGAGAAATAACCCGTTCCGATAGTCTTTCCTTTCAAGATCCCTGATATTATTACAATGCGGATGTAACGGATTCGTGACCCTTTGGGATGATTATATTTAGTCTAAAAACATGTTTAATGTTACGTCTAATGCATCAGTTACAGTTTGGTGCGTTAGTCCAACATTCAGTTATGTGTACAGGGTGTTAACAAAACCACTTGTTCTTCCCCACAACAGTTAGCGGTCAGTCCAGTTCTTGCTCTATGCTCAGTGTCCGTGCCCTGCACTCTTACTTTTTACCTCTTTGGTGATTTAACGGTGTTTAGTCACTCTTGTCTAATTATCTGTGCGTTATAATCGTAGCCTTACACTTGACCTTGAATTATTTAGTTGTTCTTATCCAACCGTATATACTAATGGCCTAATACGAAATAGTGCACAAGGATTGATTAAAATGTAGTAGTTTGATGCTTATTTGAACTAGAGTAAAGTGTGAAAATCTAGTGTTTGATGTTTTAGGGATCGAATCCATGCGTAGGTATCGAAAATATTATTAATTTCCAGCACATTATTATTAGCTCATTTGCATGAGATGTGGGCTAGGACATGCGGGAAATCATGGTTCGAGTCCGGTACGTGGTAATTAAATACCATTACCATTACTTGTTCGCCTATACAGCTGATGTTTACTGTACGTTGAACTGAACATTTTCGAGATTATCGTTTGCGACGGGATATTATCAATCCACTTTTGACAGTTACTTTTACAACAGGCAACTGGTTAACAATGTAAGATTTATGGTTAAATAAATATTCGTAGGTACTGTAATAGAAACATTTCTTGTTATTATTTATTTATGATTGACAATATATTGTATTTTTAAACCTTCACATCTCGTCTTTGGGGTTGGTTGTTGAGTCAGCTTAGTAATATCAATTACAATTCAAATTATGCAAATATTTACTCTTAAGCCTAAACATTAAGCTTATTTTTTGTCGATACCAACTACTAGTCAGGGGTGAAAAATACGGGGGTGCCGAAATTGAGCAAACAGTCCAAAATTGTTCACAATACCCATTCTGTTGAACTTGTTGTCACCCATATCAAACGCACATACACTTAGTAAACTATTTTGAGTTAGTTCAAAATCCAATTAAAACAACCCTTTAAGGGAAGTTTCGTTATTTGCTTACTTTTCATACCTTTTATTGCAAAATATTGATTATATTTTAACATTATTTATATAAGTTTTCAGATTAAACTGTTTTCCGCTTGGGTTAAGGAGTTAAGCTTAATAGCTTATATTAGCATCTCATACTTGATTGATTGATTGATTGTGTGAGGGTGGACTCATGGTCCAAGCACGTCAACCGAAGCTTATTGTGCATCCCGCTTGCCACTAACTGGGTAAGCCTATGCCTGTGTCCCTAACTAGGTGCAGGAGCTTTTACCCAATGTTAGCGTCTGGTTCCTCACCTGGCTGCTTTAGACCAAACAGAGCCCTTCTCCTAGCCCGTAGTCCATCGCAGTCCAGAATAATGTGTTTTGCAGTCTCATCGGACTGGTTACAAAGTCGACACTCCTGCTTGTGATTGACAATTCCTAGAGTGTGGATATGTTTCTTGAAATGGCCGTGTCCTGTGATAAGAGCAAGTACCTGCTTGACCTGCCCTCTCCCCAGCTTTAGCAGCCAGCGAGTGAAGAGGGTGCTAGGTTCTGAGAGCAGTTTTTTGCCAAGTGATTGTCCAGGATCTCATACTTAGTGAGAGAAAAATAAGTTCGATTCCCGTCATATTCAAGAAAACTTTAGGGGTTAAGACAGCTTTTCATGGAATGCGTTTGAGTTTATTGCTTTTAGAAGCTGTACATGTCTAGAAGTGTGGAGACAAGAGGGAATTGACATAACCAAACTCCTAAATTAACACTTATCATTGCAGAATCAAATTTTACTTGACAATTTACAACTCCGGGTCAAAACACTCTGTGTGAAAACATCGATACGCTTCCATCCACTTATCGTAGACCGGAGCTGACCAAAGTACACGTCCCCACAGTTATTGTCCTCCAATGGTCAACCTATTTCGCCAATGCACCGTGACCATGACCATACACATTACACACTGCTCGTCCATGGGAAACAATCGCATAAACAAATGACCACTTTCAGTGGTTGGCGCTGTCCTGGTGCCCCACCTAGATGTAGATAACGGCGGGAATCACCGAGTGTTTGAAAAATTACGTGGGAAAATAGATGAAGCACTTGACAGCTTCACTACCGCTAGGCGTCTTCCTTGTTTCCTCATTTATAATTTCCGTCCCTTTGAAGTGTGTTTGTTTGTTTTTTGCAAGCAAAGTAGCAAATTATTGGCTACGTATTTTTTATGTTCGAATATCGACTTAGTCCATTCAATAATACAACATTATGTTCACATAACACTTTTCAAATACAACCGTGAATAATAATATACTTAAAAATTATATGGGTGCTTATACAATAAATTTCTAATAAATCTCTAAAAAATTAAGTTGGTTAAATGCGTTGGAGATCTTTTGAAGCGGCAATCTAGAGGTGTATTCGAATTGCTCAGTAAATGTTTCTGTATTCCTCACTGACCTTGATGAAACTTGAGGAAACATGTAAACATTTATATCATTGATAGGTATAAAACGTCAACTTCAAACCATATAATCTAGGATACCCTTTATCCTACTTTTAATGCTCATGATCGGTCATAACTACACCACCACTTTTAAAATTCACCCTGGAATGACTCAACATCAAGATCCTCAACCTAGATTTGTATTCAATGGATTTAATATTACCGGTAAACACAACAAATAAACTATTCTGGTATCTTGATTTAAATCGACACTGACAAAATGTCTTTCGATGTTCAATAAGTAGGTTCCATGAACATTGAAAGTAAGACCAAAGGGGTTTTTAAGAATGTAGTTAATTTTTTTCATCGTATTATGTTATTTACCTATTTGGTCAACACACTTTTTCATGCAAAATCTCCAGATAATGAATTGTGTTATTCCGTCATATAATTGACCAAGTAAATTCGTATACCAGTACAAGTTTTAGAGTGGTGAATTGAAATGGTTCCTACAGATTTTTATCATTATCGAGGAGCTAGTTTACCTGCTCTACCTAAGACCAAACATCTCTTAGATGAATTGGCTTTGCTAATAATAGGCCTACATGTAATTGATATGAACAATCCACCTGTGTTGCTGAAAGTGCTACAATATGTTTCTCACAATGGCCTGCCATCTCCAAGAGCTGATTACATAATTAGTTAATAAGAACTACCCCGACTGTGTTGCTGATGGTGCTTCCTATCACCCCCAAGAGCTAAGCTTCACCCTGACCAAGCATACAGGAAGACTTTGATGATAATACTGGTAATTGATAAGCCATTACTGACAGTGATGTTGCATGACGCGTCTGTTCTTATCTCTGCCGCTCCACACCCTGGAACTGTTCCGTGATCTTATCTTGCTGCTCCTTGACCGTTGTTTCGAAACTGTACTACTAATTTGTTTGATCTAGTTGAAGCGAATGGAACATCTTCTTCAGTAGTAAGACATGAGTTAAATTACATGTTTTACATCCAAGTGTCATTTATCAATATTATGACTTATCTGCATTAAATTCATGAGAATAAAATAAGAATGCAATGCAGATAAGTCATAATATTGATAATGACACTTGTGTAAAAAAATGGTTAGTATACCTTTGCAAAATGTTTTGTTTTCTAATCACTCGATTTTTCAAACCCTGTTTTTGTTTATTATTGAACTAGTTTTTAAAGTGCTAACCATAAACTAAGGTTATGCGCATAATTTAAAAGTTGGGTTTACTCGTCATGGGTTTGAATAATTGGTACTCCTAAACTTAAACATTTCGATCAATAGTATTTGTCAGCTATTTTCGTTTTCCTCATAAGTTAGCCACAAAGTGAATGAAAATGAAAAACATATCTAAATTTTTAAAATAAGAAAAGGAATTGCACATAATCTATTCACTAAAGCCATTCACACTTTGAGGGATCTTATGAAATCAATTTCATCGGTTGAAATCAGCCCATGAGTGGCCTTGGTGAAGAGTGGTAGTCATGCCTACAGGAGGCGTGGTGGGGCGGGTGATCTATTTACACCCAGAATTGTGCCAGGAGCGAGGAGCAGTGGAGGCGGCAAGAGAGGAACATAACGGCTCGGGCGCAGGCAAACACTGAAGAAATATGTGCGTTTCCTGTGCCAAGGAAATCGGACAAAAGGAGGAACCGTTTTTGATGACCTACAGGAGTTTGAACTCTGTCTCGGTTGTATGGTGATCAGTCAGTCGGAAAAGTGTGAAGAAGCCTCTATCGATCTGATGAATAGCACGGCTTTGTTCTGCCTGGTGGGTCAGAAGTCATCCAGACCGTTTGACGCCATCAATCTCCCAATCCATGGATCCTGCGATTACTAGGATCACCTTTGCACCGTTGACAGTTATCAGAATTCAACTGCTGCATTTCTGGTTGTGTTTCGATGGTACCTTTGTAACTATCGATGACATCACCCTTTTCTGATAAGGACATCAATATCAGAAATATTATAAGTTTCTGATATTGAGAAGAGATAACAAGTTTTCAGAAAATCTTAATTTGTTTTTAATTATTCGTCAAGTGTGTTTTAATAATTTGCAGGCATTTCCTAAACTGAGAGCATTGATCTGTGACAGAGGCCCTAAAGGAGCCGGAAGTGTAAAAAGTTTACGAAAAACGTTGAAAATTTTAAATCATTGCAACAATACGTCTCAAGTTCAACTGCCTAAATCTAATCCTAACACTTTGCTGGAAATGGGCCCTGATAATCACAAGATATAAATATTCCATGAATCAAAGGAAGAGATCGACCTCATGATCCGTTAAATCTTTTCTTTTGCCCGTTATGATAATCAATACGAAGAGGCCCTGAGAGATTACACATCTTTACATTCAGGAAAATAATTGAAACTGCCAGGCAGATATTTTCATTTGAAGAGTATGCAAGCATAACGTCTGAAATTGAAAGAACAAAGAACCGACAATTTGGCTCGACCTCAGCTTCCTCAAGGCTTGGATCCCAGAGGGACGTCCTTGCAGATGGTTAGTGATTAGATCCCAGCGGCCGTCGTACGTCGTGATACCGGTGATCCCGGCTACTTCCGAGGTTCTGTAGAAGCGGATTTACGTCTCTACTAGGTCTGTTTGTTTGGATAAGTGCAAGAAACCCTTTAAGGCTTGATAAACTCAATAAAAACCAAAGTTGTTGCTAATACAAATTTCCTGCTCTGTAGCACAAATTTGAACAAACATTTGAAAAGTGATACTTTTGAATTATTTTCACAAATTGTATTTCTTAAACTCACGAATATTATGCTCGTTGCCAATTACTTGAATATCGTCAAGGATTACTGTTAACATTGATTTTTAAAACAGCTATTGCCAAAAACAATTCAAATTAACTTTTAGTTACACCATGGAAATGATATAAAATAAATCAATTATGAAAAATAAAAACTGTGTGGACAAACCAAATAAATTCATACATGGCCTACTTAAGTTATGAAATGTATTAATCTATTCTATTATACTATCTTTGTACAGTTATTATACTAAAATATACTTACTTTTAGAACTGCGAAGACTAGAAAGAACGAGTGCCATTGTAACCTGAAACAACAGTAATTAAGAGATAAATGTGCATTAACAATCAATCTACCACTAAAATGACTGAACGTTTACAATACAAAATTATTATAGAATTTACGGAGTTCAAAACATGAGCATTTTAAATGATGATGTATAAAAACAAATTTTTGGCACTGCACTTTAATAAGACAAAAGTAGTAAGATGTCAAATAATTTCTACAAGTCATGTCCTAGCCTAAACCGCCGAGTTTCAATATCTCGTAAGTATCGTAACAAAAGCTTTGTAGTTCAAATGTTGACTTTTTGGGGTCCAAAACGCAGGTGACCATTGGTACTTCCTTAATTAGATTTTAAATATTTAATTAGGTCACTTTGTTTGATTTCAATTTATATTTTCTTTAATAAAGAAGACACTTGTAACATTTCGATTGCTTACGTTCAACAATTTTTTTTTTATTTTAAGAAAGGGAAATAATTAGACAGAACTAAGAGTTTCAGCTATTTGCTGCAGACAAACCATATTGGCTTTTTTGGCTGAATTGTATGTGTTTTGTAAATTTGTATTTTTTTGAAAAAAATGAAAGTTTGCTTCTTTTTGTTGATTCTTAAATCCAAAGTTGATTTATATTCTGATATTGCCTTTGCTCCATCTCTGATGGTACAGTTTGATAGTTTAAAAACATATCACTGTATGGCGATCCATCAGTTTTATACTTTCTAATCTAAAAAAATTTGCCTCTGTGTTTTTTCATTGACGATTTTTTTTAGAAACTTTAGGGTTTTTTTAAAAGATCGTTTAAGTTAACACGAGACCAGTACCATCTTACATCCAGATTACTTTACCAAAATTAAATGTAACGTGTAAGGTTTTCCGAACCATTACTCATGTTGTAAAAATGTACCTTTCTGAAACTCATGAAAATGCCTGTTATTTTAATTCAAAAGGCCCTTTTGAAAAGTTTTTAAATAATGTAAAACTTAAATAGAAAAATATGTAGAACACTTAACTAGTATTTTATTACGTACCACGTAATAAATTATGATGTATAAAATGCACGATATAAAACTATTTCATTTTATTAATGGGTTAGGCAAAAGTCTGGAACCCCCTGTTAACTTTTTAAGGCAATGCAGTAGGAAAAAAAGGGTTCATCAAGAGAAATTGAATGGTGCAAACTAGAGGTCAATATCGCACCCCTAATCAAAATGGCTGCCATTTTAATTATTTAAGATGAGCAAGCAATATAAAGTCTGGACACCCCCAGTTAACTTTAAAAATTTAATATTTTAATACTGACCAAAAGGTAAACTATCTTTTTTTATAAAGGTATGCTGAGTTTGTTTTTCCGGCTATAACCTGTTAAAAAGCTAATAGGGGATATTTAAAAATTACTGCCATTTTGATTAGGGGTGCGATATTGACCTATAGTTTGCGCCATTAAAATTTTCTTGCAAAACCCTTTAAAATGAGGGGGTCACACGATAGGTGTTTACATTTGAAGATTTGGGGCTGCCCCCAAAATACCCCATTTTGGGGGCCGGGTACAAGTTCTAGCTTTAATGTAAAAGTAATTTTTTTAATGTTGTATACATGTGCCGAGTTTAGTTTTCCCACTGCCACACATTATAAAGTTAACTGGGGGTGTCCAGACTTTATCTTGCTTGCTAATCTGAAATTAAAATTGCTGCCATTTTGATTAGGGGTACGATATTGACCTCTTATTTGCGCCATTCAATTTCTCTTGATAAACCCTTAAAAATGAGGGGTCACATGATAGGTGTTTACATTTGAAAATTTGGAGCCATTTTGGGGCTGGGGCAAAGTTGTAACTTTGATGAAAAAGTGCTATTTCTTATGTTGTAAATATGTGCTGAGTTTGGTTTTCCTACTGCAACGCGTTAAAAAGTTAACTGGGGGGTTCCAGACTTTTGCCTAACCCTATAGTTACCATATTGGACACAATTTTACTATAGTGGAAACTTGTTCATGTAATGTTAAAATTTACATTGTAAGCTCTTTTTAAATCAAAGCCGTTACTGTTATTTTACTGTTGTATTGAGTTTTGTAGATGTTTTTGTTATTTGACCACTTTTGTATTGATATTGTATTAAATGTTAACTTGTTAAGTTCCGACTTTTGTTATTGATATGTTAACTTGTTATCTTATTATTAACTCGTTATCTATTGTATATCTGAACAGATTTTTTCTCTATGTATTGCATTCCTCCTGCTAGAGAAAATTTGTATTTTAATATTATTCAGCATTGTTATTGAAACCAATCTTATGTATTAGAAGTAGCTTATTGTACAATTAAAATTAGTTATAATTGTAAGGCTTATTGTAAATGGCATTGCCGTGGAATAAATAAATGAATAGTTTAGAAGAATCGTATCCCTAAACATGTTTAGATCACCTCCGTTAAAAAACGACCAGCATGCGGCTTATCTTTAATTTCTCCTTATTAATATCTTTGTTATAGCCTTTGCAGATTTTATATCTAGCACTATTCAGAATAGTTTGACGTGACTTAAATAGTGCTACTTGGTAGAAAAGCAAAAATAAGAGCATTACACCTAGTTGTAATCAATGTGAATATTTTCAATCCTGTGAACCAGCCTGCGTTCCCAAGCGAGGAAAGGGACTACTGTGAACAGGTCGCAGGGTATCACAGTCGCTACAATATATACAATACCACTGCCACTGTCCTGTTATAATCGGTCTCGTACAATGCCTGGGACACAATACCAGAAGGATTAACTCTTCCTGTACAGTCTAGGTTCCACGCTGAAAGTATATGTGATTTTATTGTAGTCTTTCTTATAACAAAATCTTTATATTTATCGTAATTATGCTGTGAAAAAAGCGCTGTGAAAACGTTGCGGGACTAAAGAAGTTATTTTGTTCATTTGACAAAATCATAACCAGCTGCAGTCAAGATCAGCTATACAGTTTAGAGTTTAAAATTCCTCCGCTGATTTTGCCGGAAAAATAGTCCGAATTGAAAAAATACAGTTTTATCATTATTAATATTTTTCAATATTTATCATCGTTTCACGTTGCATTTTTCACTTTACTGACTAGACAAATTCAAATTTAAATATTTTATGAAACTATTTTTAGTTTGAATTTATTATTGGGTTGGTGGAGTATGTCCAATGCATATAAATAATGGTAACATCTGTTGGTATTTAATATCAAAACTATATTGAAACCAATAAATTTGGAAGCAAATAACCAATTTAGTAGAGAACGAAATGGTTTTCAGTATCACGAAATGTATTGGTAAAAATCACATTTTAACAAACACATTATAAACAAACAAAATTAAAATCAAAGCAAAAAATTTACACAGAATAGTTGGTACAGTAACTAACTAAGTAAGTAAGTAACATTGTTACTTTACCCATAAAAATATAGAGAACGTAATTGAAAACTAGGTAACATGCTAAATGTATAATATGTAAAAATATGTCTTAATTCAAAACCTCCAGATATAATAAAAAACTAAATTTAAATGGAAACGGTGGCTTACAGTATTGACCTTGAATAGTCAGAGAGAACGTCTCTTCCCATTGTAAAATCTATAGCATGTCTTAATGTGGGTTTCATGTTTGTTTTTTTTTCATCTTATTTTTCGCAGATTTTATAAGTTTTGTTTTATTGTTTGATCATAAAACCAAAGAACAATTGTTTATAACTATATTTAGCAAATTCCCCGAATAGTAAATAAGCTATTATCATAGGTCTTATGGTAAGACCTAAAAACAGGACCAGTTTACTTTTCGTATATTTACAGGGTGGACAACTTAACTGTGCCACCATTAGAAACCATTATTTCAAGAAAACAGTAAATGGAGAATATAAACTTTTTTAATTGCATTAAAAAACTATGAATTCCACTTTTTCAAAAATGTCCATCCTTTTCTTATCTGGTGGTTGAATGTAAAAGTTCTAACCTTGCAGTTTATGATCTTTTTAGAATAATTTAAAACGGGTTTAGCCTGATTTATTTCCTCCGATGCTATTCGTTTATGAGTTACATCGTGTTAGTCCTGGGAAAAATGGCTTGCTGTGTTCATTATATTTCCTGTACCTCATAAACGAGAAGGATTGGATAGGGAATGAAAAGAATAAATAAGTCTTAAACAATTTAAAAATATAATAAAATATAAAGGATACCAATTTTTAAGCTAGCCACCATACTGAAACATGGCAGCCATTTTCGAAACAGAGGAATCAATATATTTAATACTGTATTTTTCGTCATACTACACTATTCTTTGATCTAAACAATCCATAAAACGCAAATATCGTACATTGTTTACCTTTAGCACATTATTACAATCATTTCCAAAATAATTGTCCGTCTCTTTATGCTATTATGAAAAGATGTATTACTGTTACTTTAGATGGAATAAGTATTACATCACCAACACAATTGTGAATTCTAATTTAACGACTAAAATGATTTTAATTCTCAATTTGTTAATACAAAAATATACTGCTGTGAAAAATACAATATGGCACGACAATAAACACATACAAATTGTCATAACAGTACCATAAAACATTTTGTTAATTGGGACTATTTCCTTTGGAAAATTAGCCAAAGAATTTTAAAGCTATAAAAATTTCGTTCACGTCCTTGACTCTAGCTGATTATTTTTTTCCCAAGAAGAAATAGAGCTACTTTGGTCCCGCAACGTATTTATAATAACATACACTTTTACTGCAGTAGGAAAGAAATTTCTTAAACTAATATTGCGTATGAATCAGCTGTATCCCACTACAAGGTGTAGGCCTACATTTGACAGTAGCACAGGTACATAACTCAATAACTCATTTATTGAACCAATTATAGATATACAGTATTTACATGTATTGGTTACGTCAATCAATTTAACATTGCCTAGTTTAAAGATCCAGAGGCGATTACATCATAAAGCTATACACTTATAAAATTAACCTAGCATTCAACAACATTAAAATCATTTAAGACTTAAGAAAATACTAGGGGCA